GAGCGGTTACAGGAAGAGTAGGCCATGCCCTTGAACCTGGTTCAAGGGCAATAGAAGAGATCGATGGGGCTTGGCGACCAACGATAGAGGTATGGGAAGCTTAGGCTTAGGCTTAGGACAGATCAAAAAAATCGTTGGCGGAAGATAGTACAAAAAAAAATCGTTTACGGATCGGGTCTCAGAAAAAAAAAAAAATAAAAAAAAAAATAAATAAAAATATTTATAAAGTGAGTGAAATGAGGATGGGTAGTGGTCATCACTCAAAGTGAATTTTTTTTGTTTTACGTTTCCTCGAATAGCAAGGAGGAAGTAGAGCTGCCTAGCGGGACCGATGCGGATAGACTAGAAAAGCTGAAAAAAAAGGAACAAAGTGAGTCCGCTCCAATGGGGGAGAAAAATCCCAATTTACACTCCACTTTTTTTTTGTAAATTTGCTAAGAACTGTGCCCAGTTCCGCCGTCCTGTCCACAGCGGCATGGTCCTTCGCCCGGCCTGGAAGTGGACCCCGGAATATCGTCCCCGTCCTCCAGCAAAGATTTTATTAAACCCTATTTAAATACCTACATATAATTTAGAACCCACTAGGCCGTCGCATATCTGTGTATACACTTATTTATTTATTTACCGTTAATTATAGTTATTTATTTGTTCTTATATATGTAATTGTCACTATTTATAATTATTTATTTATTTAATCATAGTTAATTTGATACGCCCATGCCCATAATTTAGGTCACAGAAAGGAAGAGGTTAGGATGGGGATTAGGAGGTCGACCTAAACCAGCTAGGAGTTATAGAATACAAAAAGAATGTGTGAAAAATGTTATTTAAAGTGAAATTATAACGTTTAATATGAATTGCTAGTGTGTTTAGTATGGGGGGGGAAAGGGGACCACAGCGACGAAATGGAGATCGGCCGCTACACTTGAGGAAAAGAGAAGATTTGTAGTTGTTCCGCGTCGGAGAGATGATTGTCCGTGAGGTTTAGTGTAAAGTCCGTTGGTTTGTTTTGAATCGTCGTTTTGTTGTCATATTTGTTCGAGATGCCCGAACAGCTGGTTTGTTGTGCGACCTGGGGGCCTGGGAAAAACCTATTCCTGAGATGACTGGCTAGCCGGCCTTGCCCCACCACTAAAACAGGTTCGTAACAGCTTTATACGCACGAATCGAACTGCAAAAAATATGCGTGTGTGTGTGTGCCGTCCACTGATATGAAGGAATGCTTGAGAATCTTCAAGTCCAGAGAATGCAATAGTCATCATTCTCAGAAATGAATTTTTTAAACAAAAATGTAGTGGCGTGAGGCGATATGAACCATTGCTCGTTGAAAAAGACGTTATATTACGTGAAGTTTCTTCTAGTTAAATTTGATGAAAACCTGACATTAAGTCAAGGTATGAGAAACATGTGGATTTAGCTATACCTAGTTGATCCAAAATATCATCAATTCTACGGATTTGAAATTTATCAGACAAGAGTTTTTTGTTTATCTGACGATAGTCAACTAACAATCGCCATTTCGTTTCTTTTGTACCCGGAAGGGCTTTCTTTGGAACAAGTAGAAGTATTGTGTTCTGATACGGATGGTTCGACTATATTGTCGGAGATTAATTATACCCGTAATCAAAAAAGAACGAGAAGGAACGTGTGAGTCGCTTCTGGGGACGCGACTCTACTTATACCCGTACTCAGTCAGTATATAAATTTTTGAGATTATAATTTTTTTGAATTTTAGAAAAAAAATAAAAATTTACATTTTTTTGCTACATCTGTTATCTACATCTACATATACTATGTATATTCTACATCTAACATGTATATTATACATGTACCATTTAGATTCTACATCTCCTCCGCCAGGGGTTGCTCGCGCACTGAACGCGGAAGAGTGTGCGAGCGAGAAAGAGAATCAGTGGTTAGTTTTCTTGCCGGAGGGGGCGGGGAAAGCAACAGAAAATTAATTTCTTCATTCTGGCTATGATTATGATCCGATCTGATTCAGATTCGGCAATCTGGTAGATATCGGCATTCTCTACGATACTGCGTTTTTAGTTTTATCGTATCTTTAAAAATGTGCATGCCACAGATTTTCGTCTTTTGTGTGGGCGGAAGGGGGCGGGGCGAAATTTTGAAATACACTTGTAGCAGTGTGATATCACATGAGTCTGGAAACCAAATTTGGTTACCCTAACTCTTATAGTCTCTGAGATCCAGGCGCTCAACAAGACGGACAGACGGACAGACGGACGGACGGACGGACGGACGGACGGACGGACAGACAGACATGGCTATATCGACTCGGCTATTGATGCTGATCAAGAATATATATACTTTATGGGGTCGGAAACGTTTCCTTCTCTGCGTTACACACATCCACTTTTACCACAAATCTAATATACCCCTTAACTCTTTTTTGAGTACGGGTATAATAAAGGGGTATATTGTATTTGTGGTAAAAGTGGATGTGTGCAACGCAGAGAAGGAAACGTTTCCGACCCAATAAAGTATATAAATTCTTGATCAGCATCAATAGCCGAGTCGATATAGCCATGTCCGTCTGTCCGTCTTGATGAGCGCCTAGATTTCAGAGACTATAAGAGCTAGAGAAACCAAATTTGGTTTTCAGACTCATGTGATATCACACTGCTACAAGTGTATTTCAAAATTTCGCCCCGCCCCCTTCCGCCCCCACAAAGGACGAAAATCTGTGGCATGCACAATTTTAAAGATACGATAAAACTAAACAATCGTAGAGAATGCCCATATCTACCAGATTTCCGAATCTGAATCAGATCGGATCATAATTATAGCCAGAATGAAGAAATTAATTTTCTGTTGCTTCCCCCGTGTACTTCAGCCAGAGAGCTTCTCATTCTCTTTCTCGCTCGCACACTCTGCCGCGTTCAGTGCGCGAGCAACCCCTAGCGGAGACAGTCTCCGTCTGTCTGTCTGTCCGTCTTGTTGTGCGCCTAGAACTCAGAGACTATAAGAGCTAGGGCAACCAAATTTGGTTTCCAGACTCATGTGATATCACACTGCTACAAGTTTATTTCAAAATTTCGCCCCGCCCCCTTTCGACCCATCAAAGAACGAAAATCTGTGGCAGGCACATTTTTAAAGATACGATAAAACTGAAAACGCAGAATCGTAGAGAATGACCATATACATATATCAGAATAAATTCATTTTCAGTTGCTTCCCCCGCCTCCTCCACGCTATTCATTCTCTTTATCGCTCGCACACACTCTGCCCTGTGCAATGCGCAACGCGCTACCTTTGCGGAGAATATGTAGAACCTACACTGTGTATGTATAATTTACATTTTATATGTGGAATCGACATTGTAGATGCAGATAACAGATGTAGCAAAAAAATGTGAAATATAAAATATTTTGAAATTCTACATAAATCATAAGCTCACTGAGTACGGGTATAAAAGTAGAGTCGCGTCCAAAGAAGCGTTTCACATGTTCCTTCTCGTTTGATATTGATTAGGTTTCAGCCCAAATATGACTCTATATTTGGAACATAATTCCGTTATTTGCGGTTTGAGCTGTGAGGGAAGTGTTTTCTTAGCTGCAATTTTTTGATTAATGCGTTGATAGTAATCTCATATTGGACTCTATAGAGGGTCGAGCCGATTATTTTGAATTTGATTACCTCTATTGCAATTGCTTCAAATGGTTCCAGCTAGCAGCCACTTAAATGGAAGCAGCCGTTCGTCCGTGATGCAAACGATATCGTTGACCTTGACAGACGGCTCCAAGGACCGCTATTTTGGCCGCTTTTGAAGCGGAGTTAAATACTCCTCGCTCCACCTTCTCCAGAACATCTGCTGAATGCGGGTGACGTGTTGCCAACGATCCAGCCGACGACGATAGGTCCGGCTCCGGAAACGTTGCAAGGGGTCGACCCATGAGAAAGTGGACCGGTGTGAGGACGCCAAGATCATCTGGATTCTCTGAAAGGGGAACAAGAGGGCGAGAATTTATTATTCCCTGTATTTGGCATACCAAGGTCCGAAGCACTTCGAAACCAAGGACGCCCGTTCCGACTGAAGTGTACAGGTGCCGCTTAGTCATTTTGACAGCAGCCTCCCAATGTCCGCCAAAGTGCGGGGATCGATGTGGGATGAAACGCCAATCGAAGCCACTGTTCAGGCAATGCGCATGAACATCGTCGATGTTCTTTTGGCTGAAGAGCAGGCGTTTTAGCTTCTCCAGCTCATTCCTTGCGCCAACGAAGTTGGCAAATGCATCTTGTGGCCGTAAAACGTTTGAGGGCGGCCAAGAACGAAGCTGTCGTCAGATCCTTTACAAGCTCCAGCCATACTGCTTTGGTGGCGAAGCAAATAAGCACCGATATGTAACACTTCTGTGGGGACTTCTTGCGTACATCGGTCTTGTAGTAGAAGGGTCCACAGTGGTCAATCCTGGTCACAGTGAATGCCAGTGACTTCTCCACTCGAACCTTTGGCAAATCTGCCATTATGTGCTTCACGAGATGAGGCCGATATTTGCTGCAGATAATGCATTTCCGCACTGCGCGAGAAACCGTCTTTATTCCGCCTATCGGCCAATACTGCAACCGAATCAAGCCGAGCAGTGACTGCGGGCCTGCATGGTGATTCTTTCGGTGAAAGTGCTCAACGACGGCAAACGTCAACGGATGATCCTTCGCTAAAATAATTGGATGGCGAGCATCATAATCAAGCGTTGAGTATTGAAGTCCACCTGTGCGAGCTAAGCCAGCAAGAAGCGCGGCACCATAGAGCTCTAATTTGTGAATGCCGATCATGTTCAGAGATGCCAGAAGAGATTTCGAACAAAGTAGATGTGTCTGAACTCCAAATCCGATCGCGTATAAATACGCGTTCAAACGCAGCAAGACTGGCATTACAAAATACATGCACTTCGAACCTGGCTCCAACTTGCAGAATGTAGCGAGGAAACTCCTGGCAGAATTGGGTCCACTCACTCTCCAACGCCTGCGGCAAGCTTTCATCCCAGTCCAACTTGCTTTTCCACATCTGCTGAAGAATTATCTTCGCCCTTGTCAACGTTGGTCCGATTAAACCGAGGGTATCGTAGCACCTTGCGATTACTGATAACCAGTCCAAGAGTCTTCGTAATGTCGCTCCCGTCGTCAGACTTTAGAAGGGTTTCCTTGTCGGCCTCTGGGACATCTTGAAGCACTTCTACAGAGCTCGAGCACCACTTTCTTAAACGAAAATTACAACGACCAAGGAGTTTTGTGCTTTGATGCATGACCTTCCGCACTTCTTCGACGGCATCGCCTCCTGATATCATGTCATCAACATAGAAGTCCCGCAAAACGACTTTCCAGCCCAATGGATACGACGAAGACTCATCCATGGCGAGTTGTTGCATTGCACGAATGGCCAAAAATGAAACAGGCTTGGTGCCATACGTGACCGTGTCCAGCTTAAAAACTTGGATGTCATCTTTGGGTGAATCACGCCACAGGATACACTGTAACAGAAAATCTGGCTCTGCCACGCGTACACATCGGTACATCTTACAAATGTCTCCAGTAATTCCAGTAGGAAATGTACGAAAACGCACTAGAGTGGCGAAGAGCTTCGCCTGAATTGTGGGCCCTAACATTAGTAGCTCCTTTAACGAGAATCCAGACGACGTCACTGCTGAGCCATCGAACACGACCCTTAACTTTGTGGACGAACTCTCCTCTTTCAATACACAATGGTGCGGCAAGAAGTATTTACACTCATGTACTTGCGAGCTAGGCACGGACGACATATGCTTGAGGTCCAAATATTCCTTAATGAATGCTGCGTTGTCCTCCTTAACCTTTGGATTTCGACTAAACTTGCGCTCAAGATTCTCAAATCGCCTTTTGGCTTGCAAATACGAATCGCCTAACAGACCTACATCACGCTTCATCGGCAGATGAACAGAGTATTCCCCCGTAGGCAACCTACTGTAGTGCTGCTTGAAGTGCTCTTCACAATGAAGCTCTTCTGCGGACATCCTTGAGATTGGCTCTACTTCCCAGAACTGACGAACCAACTCATCTAACTGGACAACTGGGGTAGACGCAGGCGTTGATCTTTGCGATGCAACAAACGATGACGACTGTGGCAGTCGATTGCAGCCTCCCGAGAACAACCATCCAAGGAGTGTTTTTTGCAGCAATGGCAATCCCGAAGCTAAATGGATTTGGTCAACGCACAGCAATTCAAAAAATAAATCTGCTTCGATGAGCAAATCAATTCGCTGTGGTATGAAAAACGATGGATCAGCAAGCTGTATATTCGACGGTACGCTCCAAGATTCAATGTTGAACGAATGGTTAGGCTGCTGGTCTGTTATCCGCGGAGCTACAACGGGCGATACGGGCGAAGGCATGTAATGAAGCAGCGTATGGTGCTTTGATTGGCAGGTACGGCAGGGATGTGATCGTCAATCAGGCATCTAATGGCCCTTATGCAAGCAGTTAATGCACAGTGACAGTCGCTTGGCCTTCTTATGCCGCGCTTTTTTTAGGATACGTACTCACGGACTTAACTGCTTTGCTAACCTGACCAGAATTCCAATGGAGGGCGTGATCAACGTTTTCCAGGGTACGATATCTTTATCCTCCTCCTCCACCCGGCACTTGTAATGTCCTATTTCAGGCTGAGGTATGCATCAGCCTGTCCAGGGTCCTGAATTACAAGATATTTCTAATTCACGAGGACTTTATCGGGAAACCAGGAACTTTGCCAGAAACTGAAATAGAAATCACAACACTTTTTGGTTCTTTTAATTTTTAATGGTTTTCTTTATTCTTCCGTCTTCTTCCGTATGATTATTCTACCCGGTTATGTTATGTTTTAATTGTGCTACGACGCGTATGGTAGTTTGACTCGACTGCCGCCCGCGATGGCTGATTGACTGCCTCCCTCGATGGCTGGTGGACTGCCTCCGACGATGGCTGGTGGACTGCCCTTTTCTTCATGCAAGGCAGTGCCTTTTATAGATCGGCCGGCCTTCGATTTTCCCATGAATGTCCAGAATGTGGGAAGGGTTCTTACATAAATATATATTGCCGAAGTATAGTCTGCGCGTGTAGACGGGCTGATCGGTAACAGAAGGTTACCTAATCATTTGCCCTGCAGTCAATGTCCGAGTTGGAGACTGCTGACTGGCTTGCGCATGTGGGGGGTTTTGCTTGGTAGTCGAGAGTTACCTAAGCAATAGCCTCCCAATAGTGTCCAATGTCCCAGGTAAGGTGATCGGTGTGCACCAGTACCGTGGGAAAGGAATTTCGTTGGCATTATTGCGTAAGCCCCTTCTGCTGGTCTCCTGTCTTTTGGCGTGTGCTGAGTTTGCATTTTTGCTGGGTGTTGATCGCTTCACCTGGGAGTAGCGTTGGCTGCTTCATCTGCTTGTGACGAACCATGGGATCCATGGTTCGTTACAAGGCGAAGGCGTGCCTCGGATGGCGTGATGTTTATATTGTCGTCACTCATTTTTATTTAATTTTAAGTTTATTTATGTGATTATCTAGTTCACGGTAAACTCTCCACGAAACAGAGCTTACAATAGCGACAAATTCAATCCGTGTGTTCGTGGCGAAGGGTTACTAAACATATATACCTACTTTTCAAGGGTCGTTAGACTATATTAATCCGTTCCGTTTGCTCTCAAGTTTTCGACTCTTTCGCTCTCAGGAGCAATGCAAATCACTCAGATCGCTCAACGCTATGCTCTCAGGCTTTATCTACGATTAGTGAGCGAGCGTTTGATGATAAAAGCGAGCGTGCATTAGATTTAAGAGCGCAAAGAGCTTGTTGGCAGCGGCTGCTCCGAACAATCGGTATCTTGTTTATCTTCCGTTCCAGGCTCTTCTGGGTCTATAAGATCAAATGCTTCTGGAACTGTAGATTCAGGTTCGTTACCTGTTTCAATTGTTAGAGCCTAGTACTCAGATCCGAAAAAGAGAGCGCGAATAAAATCAGGATTGATGCATAAAAAATTATGTAATTTTAGTTTGTGTTTTTTGTGTTTGTTGTGCTTAGGAAATGGCGCTGCTGCTAACCATGTTTGGCATCAATACAATGTTCCGTTTTGGCTGCTTTATACGCACGAATCGAACTGCAAAAAATATGCGTGTGTGTGTGTGTGTGTCCACTGATATGAAGGAATGCTTGAGAATCTTCAAGTCCAGAGAATGCAATAGTCATCATTCTCAGAAATGAATTTTTTAAACAAAAATGTAGTCGCGTGAAGCGATATGAACCATTGCTCGTTGAAAAAGACGTTATATTACGTGAAGTTTCTTCTAGTTAAATTTGATGAAAACCTGACATTAAGTCAAGGTATGAGAAACATGTGGATTTAGCTATACCTAGTTGATCCAAAATATCATCAACTCTACGGATTTGAAATTTATCAGACAAGAGTTTTTTGTTTATCTGACGATAGTCAACTAACAATCGCCATTTCGTTTCTTTTGTACCCGGAAGGGCTTTCTTTGGAACAAGTAGAAGTATTGTGTTCTGATACGGATGGTTCGACTATATTGTCGGAGATTAATTATACCCGTACTCAAAAAAGAGTTAAGGGGTATATTAGATTTGTGGTAAAAGTGGATGTGTGTAACGCAGAGAAGGAAACGTTTCCGACTCCATAAAGTAAATATATTCTTGATCAGCATCAATAACCGAGTCGATATAGCCATGTCTGTCTGTCCGTCTGTCTGTCTGTCCGTCTTGTTGAGCGCCTAGAACTCAGAGACTATAAGAGCTAGGGCAACCAAATTTGGTTTCCAGACTCATGTGATATCACACTGCTACAAGTGTATTTCAAAATTTCGCCCCGCCCCCTTTTCGACCCATCAAAGAACGAAAATCTGTGGCAGGCACATTTTTAAAGATACGATAAAACTGAAAACGCAGAATCGTAGAGAATGACCATATACATATATCAGAATAAATTCATTTTCTGTTGCTTCCCCCGCCTCCTCCACGCTATTCGTTCTCTTTATCGCTCGCACACACTCTGCCCTGTGCAATGCGCAACGCGCTACCTTTGCGGAGAATATGTAGAACCTACACTGTGTATGTATAATTTACATTTTATATGTGGAATCGACATTGTAGATGCAGATAACAGATGTAGCAAAAAAATGTGAAATATAAAATATTTTGAAATTCTACATAAATCATAAGCTCACTGAGTACGGGTATAAAAGTAGAGTCGCGTCCAAAGAAGCGTTTCACATGTTCCTTCTCGTTTGATATTGATTAGGTTTCAGCCCAAATATGACTCTATATTTGGAACATAATTCCGTTATTTGCGATTTGAGCTGTGAGGGAAGTGTTTTCTTAGCTGCAATTTTTTGATTAATGCGTTGATAGTAATCTCATATTGGACTCTATAGAGGGTCGAGCCGATTATTTTGAATTTGATTACCTCTATTGCAATTGCTTCAAATGGTTCCAGCTAGCAGCCACTTAAATGGAAGCAGCCGTTCGTCCTTGATGCAAACGATATCGTTGACCTTGACAGACGGCTCCAAGGACCGCTATTTTGAGCGCTTTTGAAGCGGAGTTAAATACTCCTCGCTCCACCTTCTCCAGAACATCTGCTGAATGCGGGTGACGTGTTGCCAACGATCCAGCCGACGACGATAGGTCCGGCTCCGGAAACGTTGCAAGGGGTCGACCAATGAGAAAGTGGACCGGTGTGAGGACGCCAAGATCATCTGGATTCTCTGAAAGGGGAACAAGAGGGCGAGAATTTATTATTCCTGTATTTGGCATACCAAGGTCCGAAGCACTTCGAAACCAAGGACGCCCGTTCCGACTGAAGTGTACAGGTGCCGCTTAGTCATTTTGACAGCAGCCTCCCAATGTCCGCCAAAGTGCGGGGATCGATGTGGGATGAAACGCCAATCGAAGCCACTGTTCAGGCAATGCGCATGAACATCGTCGATGTTCTTTTGGCTGAAGAGCAGGCGTTTTAGCTTCTCCAGCTCATTCCTTGCGCCAACGAAGTTGGTCGCATTGTCCGTCCAAATGCATCTTGAAATGCCTCTTGTGGCCGTAAAACGTTTGAGGGCGGCCAAGAACGAAGCTGTCGTCAGATCCTTTACAAGCTCCAGCCATACTGCTTTGGTGGCGAAGCAAATAAGCACCGATATGTAACACTTCTGTGGGGACTTCTTGCGTACATCGGTCTTGTAGTAGAAGGGTCCACAGTGGTCAATCCTGGTCACAGTGAATGCCAGTGACTTCTCCACTCGAACCTTTGGCAAATCTGCCATTATGTGCTTCACGAGATGAGGCCGATATTTGCTGCAGATAATGCATTTCCGCACTGCGCGAGAAACCGTCTTTATTCCGCCTATCGGCCAATACTGCAACCGAATCAAGCCGAGCAGTGACTGCGGGCCTGCATGGTGATTCTTTCGGTGAAAGTGCTCAACGACGGCAAACGTCAACGGATGATCCTTCGCTAAAATAATTGGATGGCGAGCATCATAATCAAGCGTTGAGTATTGAAGTCCACCTGTGCGAGCTAAGCCAGCAAGAAGCGCGGCACCATAGAGCTCTAATTTGTGAATGCCGATCATGTTCAGAGATGCCAGAAGAGATTTCGAACAAAGTAGATGTGTCTGAACTCCAAATCCGATCGCGTATAAATACGCGTTCAAACGCAGCGAGACTGGCATTACAAAATACATGCACTTCGAACCTGGCTCCAACTTGCAGAATGTAGCGAGGAAACTCCTGGCAGAATTGGGTCCACTCACTCTCCAACGCCTGCGGCAAGCTTTCATCCCAGTCCAACTTGCTTTTCCACATAAAACTTTTTCACTTTTTTCCACTTAAAAACTTGGATGTCATCTTTGGGTGAATCACGCCACAGGATACACTGTAACAGAAAATCTGGCTCTGCCACGCGTACACATCGGTACATCTTACAAATGTCTCCAGTAATTCCAGTAGGAAATGTACGAAAACGCACTAGAGTGGCGAAGA